GTCATTCCACCAATTGCTCCACAATCACCCTTACCAATCATCTGGGGCTTTTATAATAGACCAGAAGTGGCCACAGTACAAGGGACATAGTCCCACCCCACTAGCAATAAAAAATACATGGGCTACAGTAAAATCCACAAGTGTGTTACTCTTATGGTCTGCTTTTAGGTGCATTTTAAATAAACATTTCAAAATAGCCTGTTAATTGTTGTTTCATCTTGTATGCAGTTTCATTTGTTTTTGAGATAAGATTTTATTCCAAAGAGTATTGTATCTTATGTTTGAACAGTGTAGGTTGTAGTGCATTTCATATGCAGATTTTTTCTGTTTACAATGTTTATATATATCTTTGTTTCTTTTGAATTGTAGATTTATCTTATAAAAACAATTTAACACATTGGTCTCCATTTCTGTATGTTGATGTTTCGGAGTCACCTAGTCTCACTGTAAGATGGCAACAAGCACCTCTGAATTTTGGTGTTCGAAAATATGAACTGATGGTGTACGACAGGAATGAATTAAAAGAAACTAAAGTATTTAGCAGCACAGATGAAGAAGAATTGAGCTACAAGTACAATGAATATTTCCCTACATATGGGGAATACAAATTTGAGGTGCGCATACTTCATGATTCCTGCAGAAATGGTGTTTGCCCTGTATCAGAATCTCCAGAAATAGTTGTAGGTGAGTACATTGGCTGAAATATGATATTTAATGCTTCACATTAAAGAACTGAATACAGCTCAAATAAATCTTTGTCTTAAGTGCAAACTAAAGAGGCAGTATGTCTTTCTCATGCTGTTAATGATATTGTTACGTATAGGAGGGTACGCATGGTGGAAATAACGGGTTCTGAATTTGATGATTGGATTTATTAATACCTTTGGTTACAGGTTCTCTTACACTCAGTTATAACACTATTGCTATTGTACACACTTTAAGTTGACTGTTGCGCATGCACGACGATTCTCCGTTTTCACTAGTCGTCTCCTGGCAACGGATCTTAACACAGGAACTAGCACTTCAAATCACTCTGAAATCTTCTTGTTACTTCATCTTCAGTCATTCTATACTTCTTCATCCTGATCTGTACTCAGCTGATGTTCACAATTCAGTAAGGACATGCTCCATTCTCGTCCTTGTGCTCTCAACTGTACTGCATTCACTGCACTAATCTAGGCTACAGCAGGTCCTCGTTATACACCTAAGGCTCCACATGGACAACACAAAAAACAAGTCACCTGATCGCTACCCAGCCAGTCCATTGGTTCACTGACTGCTGTCTAGCAATGCGCTATAACATTTATCCACTGACACACAATTCCCATTGTTGCACATTGGAATGTGTTTGCTGAGCTCTTGCCTGGCAGTTCATTGATCAAATGCAGTATCATAAGTTTGTGCTGCAAATTTGTGCCTCTCACCTATGGCAAGCATTTGTGTACTGTAAATATTCTACTTAGTGGGATGCACTTTTGCCTGAAGAATAGAGGTTTACTTGGATTTCCATCAGAGTCTTCTTGTGTGTTGTATCACCAGCTGTACTTCCACAGGGCATCTGCCATTTAACATCTTACAAATTTCAGAGCCACCTGACACTTGAATTTTCATATATTTCAGTTGTATCGGTTTCTTTCAACATATTTTTTTTCTATCGGTGTGTATGTTAAATGTTTACTACATGTTTCAGCCTTTTGACCATCATCAGGTATTGTACATTCATTCTTAACTTGACTGTTCCTTCTCTATATTAGTCAGTGCTTACATTTGATATATTGTATTATGGTTTTTTAATTGAGGTGAAATGTCCCTATAGACTTCTTTTATTAAAATATTAAATATCAGAAAGCTGTATATGATGTTGTTTGATTGCTAAAAATATTTTAATTGTAAAATGGTTATATTTTGTTTCATTAGGTATAAATTTGTTTAGGTTAATTGTAATATGTTTGTATAGGTGAAATATGTGGGTCATTTCATAAATAATGCACAGGTTGGCAACACTGTGGATTAGTGAGCCTCACGTCAGTTACAGTTCAGGGCTTGAGAAAGAAGCGCGTTATTTTGTTTCGTTTATAATTTACTCTGTTCGTAAATAACGTGAGTTAGAAATGGAGCCTGCATGGTTCTAGGGTATTGTGACGGTTGAAGATCAAAGGACATACATTAAGATCGAAACTTTATGTGGAAAAAACCTGACAGAAATCCACAGCTGAAATCACAGTCCAACGAGTGGAGAGGTCCATCTTCGCCATGACCAAAAAAATTTCGATGATCTCAATCAAAGGTCAGACAAATGATGATCTTTGCTTATGATCACCAAGGAATCATCATGACAGACAGAGTTCCGTGTGGGAAAAGTGTCACAGCAGTTTATTATCGTGACTTCATGCAAAATCTGCACAGAAAAATGCACAAAAACCGACCTCAGTTGCTTGAGGCTGGGCCGATCATTCTCCATGACAACAGTCGCCCGCACATCAGGAATGTCATAACAGAAAAGCTGCACCAGTATGGTTGGGAGGTTTTGCCTCAGGCTCACTGAAGCCCAGACACGAGTCCACCAGCCTTCGACTTATTCCCAAAGTTGAAACAACCTATGCGAGGCCGTTGTTTTCCCTCTCTGGAAGAGCTTTCTGCTGCAGTACCCGAGCCTTCGACAGATAAACAAAGACGGTGTCCTGGATGTAATAGTAAAGCTTCCCACATGTTGGGACTCAGTCATTGAGAAGCAGGGGGACTATATTGAAGGACTGAAAAGAGATATAAAAAAAATAAACATGGACGTAAACAAAAAATTGTGTGCATTGTTTTTGAAATGACCTACGTATGTTGTAAGCATTATTTAACTGTAATATACCTATATAAAAGGTCATGTTGACAGAAACTGGCACAACTGAACTACAACACAACATGATGCTTCTCTGTAGTATTTTTCATATATTTCTTTTAGTGTTTTTAACACACAGCATCTTTCTAATTGTTTGGTTCTTAACTCTGTTTGGTTTTCTTAAATATCTTATGTCTGTGGTGGATTTACAATTGGTATATATATTTAGTTGTTAAAAGTATGTTTTCCATGAAAGGGAAAGAATTAAAAGTGAACTGTGTATGCTGTTATAGCTGAACTGCACTGACAAATCAGTGCACCTGTGCATTATATAGTTTGAAGTTTGTTTTCACGATTTAATGTCCCACTCAAGGCTTAATTAGATGGAAACCAGGCTTCACAGAATAGAAGGCAGTCAGTTATTGATTGTAGATGAGGTAAGTTTTCTTCAGGATTACTGGGTTTTCATACCATCATCAGAACCCTTTAGTCTACTTGTAAGTGTGCTTGTTTCAGTGCTTTGTTGATTGATGTTACTATGTTGCATGTCAACAGTGGTCAACAAAGGATTGTTAAAATATTGTAACGTGTTTTGTTACTGAAGACACCGTTCGGATTGTTAATTGGTTTATTTAACAACCTACAAGTCTCGGCTACAATTAATTATAACACTGTTGCGGGGTTTCACACTTTATAACCCTATTCGCAATAATCTCTTCACTCTGTCTTCACACTGTTGTGGGGTTTCACACTTTATAACTCTAATCGCAATAATCTGTCCACTCTGTCTTCAGTAGTCTAGACGTATTCACAGTACAGGAGCTATGTAAGTGTCCCTGTGTTACACACTCCCAATTACACAATTATACACACGTCCGCTTCTTCTTTCTGCGAATGCTGCTGTACTCCAACTGTGTCACTCCTGATCACACACGCTAACTCGTTCACTGCTGACTAACTCTTAACTCTCCGCTGGCTAGATTCCAACTCAACTTCGTAGGCTGCTACCTTAAGAACTCACTTCGGTGACTGATACGCTTAACTCTCTTCATAGGCAGTGTAGGTCTCTTATAAACCTTCAGCTGGACAACGGGAAAACGCCTTGTATCCTTGTTGCCTAGTCGCCGTGTCACCTCGGGGGAGGGGAGGGGGAGTGTTGACTGGCCCATTATCGTATTAGCCACAGTGCTCGATGTTGTTATGTCACTGTTGGCGGGGGGGGGGGTGTCCTGCATAGCACAACACGTCACACTGCTCCCTCCTTTATGTCACTGCTGGCAGGGGGAGGGGTGTCCTGCATAGCACAACACGTCACACTGCTCCCTCCTTAAGGCTGTTCGTCCTGAATAGCCTAACGGTGCACCCCAGTTCCTTTTCTTCCAAGGATGTGCTTGGTGGGTCTCCTGTTGTTTCGGCTACTACTCGCAGTGACTAATATTTGGCTGTTACATCCGCTATCCTCTTAAGACAAAGCTCGTCTCTAGTGGTTCCCTTTTAACTTGCCAGAAGATCCAGTTGTTTCCCATTCACTCCTTCACTTTCATTCTTTCTTCTTTCACTCTTGCTAGGGAGACCAGTGTTTCTACGTTACCGGCTCCTCCTGTGTACTATTCCATTTTTTTCGTTTCGGAGGGGGTCAACCCCTCCACAAGGCCCAATTCTTGAACATTACTTTCTTCAGAAACTTCCTTTGTCGACGTAATGGTGTGGCCTGCACTTGCTGACATTATATTTCCTCCTGGTCTTCAGCCGCTTGCTGGTATGAGACCATGGCGCCAAGTCCTTTCTCTGGCATCCGAAGGTTCCCTGGGGAGTTTCCTTCTTGAAGGCATTTCTCCAACATTGAGCCACTCTCTTCACTCTGTCTTCACACTGTTGCGGGGTTTCACACTTTATAACCCTAATTGCAATAATCTGTCCACTCTATCTTCAGTAGTCTACATGTATTCACAGTACGGGAGCTATGTAAGTGTCCCTGTGTTACACACTCCCAATTACACAATTACATATACGTCTGGTTCTTCTTTCTGCGACTGCTGCTATACTCCAACTGTGTCACTCCTGATCACGCATGCTAACTCGTAGACTGCTGCCTTGAGAACTCACTTCGGCGACTGATACACTTAACTCACTCCGTAGGCAGCGTAGGCCTCTTGTGAAACCTCAGCCGGACAACGGGAAAACGCCTCGTATCCTTGTTGCCTAGTCACCATGTCATCTCGGGGAGGGGAGGGGGAGTGTTGACTGGCCCGTTATTGTAGTAGCCACAGCGCTCGATGTTACGTCACTGCTGGCGGGGAGAGGGGTGTCCTGCATAGCGCAACACGTCACAATATAATTCCTAATGTTAGCCTGGAAGTTATGGAAAATATTTACAAAAAATGGTGCATGTTATATTATGCTTACTCACTTGTCTGCTTTGTGTTAAAAAATTCTGGATGCTGTATATTTGGGAAGTGTGTGATCTCAGAATACTGCATTGGCACCTTACAAGTGTTTGACCTAGCACTGGTCCCTGTAATACATAGATTAGTATTACTGGTAGTACTTAAAAGTGAAAAATTATTCAGGCATTAATTTTTATAAGCTCAGTAAACTTAAATAGTTTTATGGAAACTAGAGTGAATTAGAAAATGGTGCATTTGTTTTCATTTGACATAGAATGCTATACTATTTCTTCAAACAGGCATCATTATCATGTAATTTTTATAAATTTTGTCATGAGAAATGGAAAGTTGAAGAAAACAAATTTGCTTACAGGTGATTCTGCTAAGAAGGCATTGCTAGTAGGAGTCATTGGCTGTGTAGTTGTTATGTGTCTGTTGATGATCATCCTATATTCATGGAACAGATTCAAACAACCAAAAAGTAAGTTATGGAAAGCTGGGAAGTTATGTTTTATTGTGCTATAATAGGTCTTAGTAAGGAACATCTTTCATACTATGTGGATATTATCAAGTAAATAGTATACAGAATGGCCTTATACATGCACAGCATTTCTTTCATTTTATCTCTGAGCTTTCATATTCTTCTGTATTTTCGAGATGCCAGGTTGCTCATATGAATGTATAACTCCATGAAGCAAGAAAGAAAGATGAAAGGGTCATAATACCAACAAAAATTAACAGACCGTACATAGTTTTGAACTAACTTTGGTTTCTCAAGTAAAAAGATATGGAATTTGAGATATGTTTCTTGTGTGTTATCCCATTTCAACTTTTGAGTCAGCTGACTAAATTTCATGAAGTTTGGTGAGAAGTGGAAGTCACCTCAGCCAAATACATGGTCTGTCCAATAAGAAGCCGAACTCTCTTTTTAAAACATTTATTGATAAGCTTACAACTTAATAAGATTTGTCTCCTTCAAAGTACTCCCCTCCACTGTCTACGCATTGCTTCCAACGTTTTTTCCAATTCTGGAATGCGTCCTGGAATGCGTTTTGTGGGATAGTGTGTAGGTCCCATAGCGAATTTTCTTCTAGCTCTTCTATCGTCTGAAATCGGTGACCTTTCAGATTGTATTTCAACTTTGGGAACAAAAAGAAAAAGTCTGCAGGGGCCAAATCTGGAGAGTAAGGCGGTTGGGGGATGACAGTTGTCTTGTGCATCACTAAAATTTCACGGATGAGGAGTGACGTGTGAGCAGGTGCGTTGTTGTGGTGCAGCATCCAGCTCTTGTTTCACCACCTCTCAGGCAACAACAGATCAACAACACCTTCACATTTGATTGACTTTGACGCGCTCGTTTTGGTTGTGGTTGAGCTTTTGTTTCGATATTGTACCCATACACCCACGTTTCATCACCTGTTATGACATTTTTCAGAAAGTTTTCGCCAGCATTTGAATGATAAACAACACCTGACTGACCATGACATGGTTCGGTTTTTGTTCGTCTATCAAGAGACATGGCACAAATTTTGCAGCAACACGATGCATCTCCAGTTTTTCGTCAAAATTGTGTGGCACAAACTTTTACTGGTGTAGACTTATTCAGAAACTTCACAGACAGTTAGGTGGCGATTTTCGCGAATCACAGCATGCACTTTCTGAACATGATCATCGTCCGTTGATGTGGAAGGCTGCCCAGGTTTGGGATCGTCTTCGGTGGACGTTCTGCCCGATTTGAAACGTTGGTACCATTCATGACATTGTGTACGCCTTAAATAATCCTCTCCATAAGCTTGCTTCAACATCTGAAAAGTCTCTGTAAAAGTTTTTGCCAATTTGAAACCGAATTCACGCAAACACATTGCTCAAGGTCCTTCATGTTTCAACTTGCAAAAATTGCAAAAGTCAGGTTCACTCTACCACATGTACTTGATGACTAATTGATATGGCGTGATTGGGTAGGTGTCAGGTTAAAGCTTAAGGTCACCGCTACACAGCGACACACTCATGAGTCACCTGTGTCGGTTTGTTGGCACCCTATTTGTCAAGTTTGGTTTCTTTTTGGACAGACCATGTATTTTTAACAACAACAACATGGTGGATGTACAAACTTGTGAGGTGGTGATGACACTAGTATGACTTAATATAGGGTCTGGAAATTAAGTATGGAAATAAAAAAAGCAACTTGATTAAGGTTTTTTTTCTCCTTTCATTTATTATTGTGGGGGGAAAGGGGGGCGTGGAAAGTAGGCCAGCTTGTAGGCCCTGTGAAAATTTTGCATTTAGCTCTTTCTGTGACAGCGATACCTGGCGCTAGGAATTTGGAGTTTGGTATAAAGGTAGATTAGAAACATACCTACAAATTATGTATGAAATTTTATTTATGAGTCTGAAATTATAAATATGTTGGAGTAATAAAACTTTGAGATTGTAACGGACAACTTTAATATTATCAGAATTTATACTTGAGTTATGCCTGTAATCAGGAGGATTATGATGATGGCATTTTAAAATGTAACATATTTACAATTGTGAGCAACAAAATACAAAACTGACACAAGTAGGATTTTATCCTGTGACCATCTGCCCACAAGCTCAGCATCTCACCCCATCAGCAAAATTGCATTTTGTTGTTGGATTATGAAGTTACGTTTTGTAAATATAATATTAGCAACATAAGATTTGTAGGCCTAGAAGTCTGTGCAGCAAGAAAATAGGCTGTATGAGCTCTGTCCAGAAATCCTTGTTTTAATTCCTCTTAGAATTACTGGGTCTTTGGACATTGTCCATTGTCAGTACCCTTTAGAATCTGCATTAACTCTCTTTGTTTTTCAGATATTAAACAACCGAAGTTATTGATTATCTATACTGCATCCAATGTGTCTCATATAAAAGTTGTGGAAGAATTAGCAAAGTACTTAAGGAAGCACTGCTTTGTTGATGCACTATTGGACCAACTGGATATACCAAAAACCAAGAAAAAGGTCTGGAAGCTTAAGCAAAAGTGGTTATATAGTTATCTTCGAACAGTTTGGGATGACTATACATGAAAACATACAGCAGACTAAGTAATGTTCCCTGGGGGCCAAGAAATAAATGTGTAGAATGGAAAACTATTTTTGTTACTTTTATCAGTGAGATATCAGTGTAAAGGTAAAGGTAACTTTTATCAGTGAGATATCAGTGTAAAGGTGAAGGTAACGGTAATGCTTACCTTATGCATTAAACTCTGCACCATGAAGACGTGATTACACAGTTTAATATAGTGAATATTTGAATTAGAACTGCTGTTTATGTTGAATTGCAGTAATATTACAGTGATCTCTTCTTAGATTATTTAATAATGCTGTTTCAGTTGCATTGGTTATTACAGGTATTAAGATTAGCATGAATTCTTTAGTTTGTGCCCATATAGAGAGGGGGAGGGGAGCAGCAGGGCCATTTGGCCCAGGTCCCTGGCCAAGGGGCCCCATATATTATTTCATTTAAAAATTAAATCAGTCCCAAATTATATGCCAAATAAATGTAAATAATCTGTAATAAACTGAAAATTGTTTCTGTTGTATATTTTAACATTTAAGTGACAGAAAATCTGTTTTTTTTAAGTGTTTATTAAATATATTCTTCCATTTGTATGAATTTCTGAGTGGGGTGTGGGCCTGACATTTGTGACTGGCCTTGGCTACTCTCACCGCTATCAGGCCCTGGTCACCTTACATGCAATATCTTATAATTGCAAAGTAATTACAATATATGTGGACAGATATTTGAGTGGGCTGATGAGTTGAAGAATATGTAGAATGTTGTTTTGGTCTTACATAATTTTGATCAGTGGTGAGCATGAAAGCAAGCAATTTTAGGGTACTTATGTATAAAATTTTGGCATGTTTTCTGCAATAGACAAGCATATGCTATTTGATTTATATAACATAAAAAAACTGCTTTAATATACAATTATAAAAGACAAGTCCGTCCAGTGTGACTATTTCAGTTTTCTCACTTTATAATTCACTAGCCTTACATGTTTCGATCCATTTGGATCATCTTCAGAGGCACCAAACACTTTTTAGAAACCACTATCACAACAGTTGCCATATCAATTACACATGTATTGCCAAGTACACAATATTCTGTCTATCAGTCACAGCAGCCTTTCTAGTTATAGAAATATTTAAAGTTGTTTTTAAAAACTTTGTTCAAAATTAAAATTCATAAACCTTACGGTTCGTGTCAACAACCCCTGTTGTCTCTCTTCTAGGTGGCCGATGATGTGCACAGCGGGCCAAGAAATCATAACGGACTATATTAAGAATCTCCTTACACAAGTTACATAGGCGGCACATCATCGGCCACCTAGAAGAGAGACAACAGGGGTTATTGACACGAACCGTAAGGTTTATGAATTTTAATTTTGAACAAAGTTTTTAAAAACAACTTTAAATATTTCTATAACCAGAAAGGCTGCTGTGACTGATAGATGGAAAATTGTGTACTAGGCAATACATGTGTAATTGATATGACAACTGTTGTGATAGTGTTTTCTAAAAAGTGTTTGGTGCCTCTGAAGATGATCCAAATGGATCGAAACATGTAAGGCTAGTGAATTATAAAGTGAGCAAACTGAAATAGTCACAGTGGACGGACTTGCCTTTTATAATTGTAACTGTTAGTGTGATGGACCAAAAATGAAACAAATCACATGCTTTAATATACTTATATTTAGATTATGAACAGAGATTTGTATTCTCAGACCTGTAAGAAAATATTGGTAATTATGGAAAAATGAATTGTTTCACTATAGATAGATAAGATTGAAAATGATATGCTATAAAATGGTACGTTTTGGAAATGAAATTGTCTATCTTATGTTTTCTGTTTTTAGGATCCATATGAATGGTACAATGATGCTTTTGTTCATCTTGATTTTGTAATGGTGGTGTCTTCACCCCCTAAGTGCTGCAACCAGGAAGGACTCTACAGAGGGGCAGATGTCATTGCCCTGCGGTTTTTGAAGAACAAGTTTTCTGACCATAAATCTAGATGCCTGTTTTTTTCTGTCTTGCTGCCTTATTGTACTGAACAAGACATTCCAAATGATGCAAAACATTTTGTGAAGTTCAAATTAACGAAAGATTTTGATAAGATGTTATGGTTCATTCATAATGGTGGTAAGTTCCCTGCCTTTCTGGATTCAGCATGTGCTTTACTTGGGCCTAACCTACCTGGAGGTGAGTGTGATTTAAAAGTCAGTGGTGTAACTTTGCTGAGATGTATGAAAGAGGCAGAAGGTGATTCTTTTAAATTTTGTAACCACAAGTATATGAAAGAGGAGGGAATTTCTAAGAGTAAAAAGACTGTGCTGCAGGCACTGTTTCAGCCTTCACAAGATGTGACAGAAAGTAGACCTAAATATGTGAACCATTCAAGTGATGTTTCTGAAATGAATCCTGATGCAGTGATGAATTATGAAGACTTCATGGAAATATCCTTGAATGATTTAGATCTGACAGGTGCACAAGCATTATGTTCAGAACCATTAAATAAGCGAAGGGTTGATACTCAAACAGTGTATGATCTTGATACTATGCCACTTTAGGAGGACTGAATTTGCCTGTATAGTTGATCCATTTTTATAACAAACAAGGGTCATTTTGTGGGATTTGAACCCACGATCCCGCTTTCCGAGTGAGTGAAGACAGTGCATGCCTTAGTCACTTGAACGGTCGTAAGCATGACCGCCGCCAAGTTTAAGCCTCTTATATTTTCTGTGTCTGACTTCACTTTGTCTTATGTTGCAAACGATGTCATTCTCATGACTTTGTATGACTTCTGCTTGTTGTCTGCACAATTTTGTTATCTAAACATATACATACGGAAGGATGAAAGCCTTATGCAAATCACTCACCGGTGTTCACCTTGCAAAATTTCCAATGTTGCGGAGAATCTTGTTTTGTAGGCGCTGCAATTTTAAGAGTCAGGTGTCTGCCGCTAATTCCCAGGCGGGACAAGCATAAGTCATTACTGATCGCATTATTCATTCTGATAAGGTTACGGGATTCTGTTTGGATGAAAGACCAGAAATCTGACCTGGCAAGTGGATTCTCCACCATGACAGTGCCCCTGAGTATGATGAGTGAAGAGTTCGCAAGTTCCTGGATAAGAAAATCCATCACAAAAACGGAGATCCACCTTATTCATCTGACATAGCCCCTTGCGATTTTTGGCTCTTTCCAAAATTAAAAAATATCCTGAAGGAACAAAAATTTGCTGACACTCCTGACATCCAAAGAAACGTGACAACGTTACTGCAAGCTATTCCGGAAAACGAATTTCAAGACTGTTTCTGGTAGAGGAACCATCGTCTCATGAAGTGCATAGTTTCACAAGGAGAGCATTTTGAAGGCGACAGCAACCGCCAGTGCACAGGTGAGCAAATTTTCCTTTCAGAGGACCATTCCGGGAATTAAATTGTCGCACCTTGTATTTCATGGAGTCGGGTTTATTTATATGCAGAGGTAACTTTACCTTTCACCTTATGAAATGTCTCTTCATACTTGTAGCTGGATATAGATGGTCCAAAAACTCAGATGCCGACAGTTCCCTTTCTGAAGGAGTGGGGCCGGTGTCTAGAAATTACATTGTAAGATTCTGAGTGTCTTTCAGCGTGGAATTTTGCAGGCCTAATTAAATATAAGTTAGAAGGTTTTCAAGAGATAAATTTTCAGTTTGTGTACTACGTCGCGGCACCGTGTAGTACTGTAAGTGACATGTAATTAAAACTGCATATGTAAAAATCAGGAAACAGTTTGTATAAGTAAAATTTTAAGTGTACTCCTAAGCATAAAACTTTGTATATATGTAAGGTATTAATAATTTGCAATAAAGATTTGTGGCTAAAAATTTAAGATACATCTTCAATCACGTGTTCAAGTTTCGGTGGAAATATTCATTATAAAAAATTTAAAGCAAATATGAGAATCTCAGAACCCATTCTCACTGCCCCAGCTTTTAATTTGCTGATATAATTCCCAAGAATTTATATATAGAGTGAAATGGAAAACAAATTTAATTTGTGTAAAAGCAAAATTATGAGAATTGGATTACGTTCTTCCGTGTGATTTCCAAACTATAATACGTTAAACAATATTCTTGACTTCTCTCTCGTATTAGTGTAAAAACTGGATTATTATGGATCTGAAGCAAATGAGGGTTTTTGTTGTATGATATTTTTTGACGAGTTTCAAAAGAAAATCAATTTGAGTGAAAAATATAGTTAGCAGTGAACAAACGCTGACCTACAGAAGTTTCTCGTGTCAGCTTTCTTAGAGATTCTTTATCATTTCCGCAGATGAAATGTGCTAGAAGAAGAACAGTCTCTCCCTTACGTGTCCACTTCATGCGAAAATGTAAAGGGCACGTAGAAAGAACTATTCAGAAGTCGAGGCTCTCACAGCAGTGACTATGAAGAGTTTGTTCTTTTGGGATGTAATGCCATGTAGATCATTGAAACTCAACCGACGTTTCGAAGGAATATGTCGCCTTCATCTTCAGAGTTGAAGATTAAGCCAAGCACTGTTTGCTGCCTGCTTCATTTTGTTCTTTTTTTTTTTCCTTGGTTTACTCTATTCAGTTGCCTCTGATTAATATAAGTAAATTCGTATGAAACAGATCCATTCCTATGCCTAAGCATGATGCCATGACAACATGTGGGGCGGAGGGAAGAACGTATAAGTTCTGCACTAAATGGGCCTGAATGAGCAGCTTCACTCTATACCCGTTGTAACCCAGAGGGTAGCACCTCAGTGCCCAATGGACAGGAGGTTCAGTGGGTGCCAGTCCCCTATGCATGGGTTACCAAACTCGTAGCAGCCGGTTCAGAAGCTGTTTCTGCCAGGAACCGAACCCCAATTCTCCAGCAAGTAGCCAGTCTCTTTGCTGGCTCAATTACCACATTTCCCAACTAATGCAATTTTTGTGTTCTTGTGTGAGTAGGTAATTTGCTTAAGATGATTAATTATTTGATTATGTGAGAGCCTCGACGCCTGACAACCCTATGGGTGTTCATGGCCTGTTACAGGGACAGCTTTACCCTTTTAGTACAGCGATGCAGCTGAATATTTTCCTGAAATTCTATGTAATGCCGCCCGTAGCTCAGCTACTTAAAAACTTCCCACCAATTTATGGAACCCGAAGGTTCATTACCGTGTTCAAAAGAACTCTCCACTGATCCCTATCCTGAGCCAGGTCAGTCCAAACCATACCATCCCATCCTATCTCTCTACGATCCATTTTAATATTGTCCACTCACGTAAGTCTTGGTCTTCCAAGTGGTCTCTTTCTTTCTGACTTTCCCACCAATATCCTATATGCATTCTCCTTCTCACCCTTTCATGCTACATGTCCTGCCCATCTCATCCTCCCTGACTTGATCACCCTAATAATACGTGGAGAAGAGTACAAGTTATGAAGCTCCTCATTATGCAGTTTTCTCCAATCTCCTCCTACTTCATCTCTCTTCGGTGTTGGATGATATAAATGAAATGTTCATGCTTTACAGGCATCGGTGAGAAACTTTCTCCTGACGGATATGAGTGAAGTGATATTAAACTCATTTAAAACAACGGCGTAATAACCTTTGCAAAACAAGAGATCAGGGTTGCAAAATTATTTATTGCTATTCATGTGAAATATTATTACGTTGACGGGGGGAGGGGGTACGCTTAGACTGGTGCTATGATAGCATACCTTCTTACCGACTATGCTCTCGGCACTGGCGGCGGCCATTTTGTATCAATAGACATAGAGGCGCATAGAGGACTTCGAGACATTCGAGACTTGTAGTACGAAGGAAGGTGTTGACCGCTAATAAGTATGTTCTTGTAAATTGAACTTTTCAATAATTAACAGGTTGATGTGGTTGATAGACGAGTGTGAACGAAATCAAGATGTCAAGTAACAGGGGGATTGATAGCAATCCATCAACAATCATGAATACCAAGGAGAAGGAGAAATACATCGAAGAATTTGATTTTCCTTTTTGTGATGAAGCTGCCAAATATGAAAAAGTGGCTAAAATTGGACAAGGCACTTTTGGGTAATGAAAAGAAAAATAATAAATAGCTAACTTTTACCACTGAAAGTTATTGAGGAAATATTAGAAGTACGATTTAATTTTTCTTTGTATTAGTTTAATGTTCAAGGACTGGAAGGCTTCTCATACACTAAGGTCGAAGCGTAAGAGTAAAAGAGATCCCAGAGTGCATAATTCATATTGAATTTATAAATGTTTAGTGATGCATCAAATTAATACATAGACATGTTGGTACTGTATAATTTTTAGTTTTTACCCATGTTTTGCAAAATAGGAACACGTTTTTAATGAAGTAGAAAATTATGCTTCATCTGCAAACTTACAGCATTTCTTTTAACATTTGATACACTGCATACAAAGAATCTAACATTGCTTTAATTACTACTAAAATGGCCAACTTTGTAGGTTATAGAACCACTGTAAAATAGTACTTGGCATATGTATATAGTAGTTGGTTAAACCGTCACCACAACAAATGTATACTCACCTTTAATGTTTACAATTAAATCTTTGTTTCTGCTACGTGTCTCGGTCACATAGGACCATTATCAGGCAGTTAATATAGGATACATCTAGTCATTGAATTACTAGTATGGATCCATACCAGTGCAACGTGTCATATGATAAAAAAAAATTTGCCCGAACTTGGTAATAAGTATTATAATTAAGTATATGAAATAAAAAAAATATATATTTAACATATATTTCGGATATGTTAAAAGTGTAGGTTTTACCTGAAGATGGAGACAGGATACAGTCTCCAGAACATTGTGTTTTAAATAAAAACAGGACAGTGATATTGTTCAGGAATATAATGTTTGTATTGCTGTATCATTTTACAAACTTCTAAATCTTATTTGCCCCCTATTCCAGCTTTCAGGCATCAAGTCATATGTCACATGCCACATGTGTTTATGTGGTATTCTGATTACTGTCTTCTCTGGCTCCCATAATTCAACTTTCAGGCATTAGGAGGGACACAGACAGTAGGGTAATCACATAAGACTCCTCTTTTTTCTTTTTCAAAATAAAAAAAGTAGGCTTATTTGGTAACCTTGTTGTCTGTGTGTGTATGCATGTATTCTCCCATCATTGCTAGACAACAGCTCAATAAACACAGTGCTGCGGCAGTGAATAGAAAAACAATAAAAGAATTTTTGGATGTGTCATTTTCTGTGTTGTCTGTGTCGCATCAAAGGAAAGACTGTGTGTCTGTACATGTATACCTCCCAACCACTGATAGGCAGTGGCCTGATAAACACGTTACCATGGCAGCGAATACACACGCAGCAATAAAGGAATTGTTGGACACGTCCTGTTTTGTGTCGTGTGTGTTTTACCCAAGGAAAGTAGGTGACCAGTTCTTCCCAGAACTTTTTGTTTCTTTCTTTATCACATTTTCATTTAGAGATTTTTCATGTATACATAATCCTTCATGAATTTGATTTGTTTCATTCTGGTCCGTCACACTAACAATTACAAAGGCAAAAATAATACCGTCTAATGTGACTATTTAAGTTTTATCACTTGAGGACTTATCACCCTTACATGTTTTGATCCCTACCGATCATCCTCAGAGGGCATCAGTACTTTCGGAAACTACTATTACAATAGATGTTATTTGTATAGATACACATATGATGTCTGAAATGCACAATATGTGCAATGTTCAACCTTTCACATTCACAGCAGCCATCTTGGTGTTAAAACTTATTAAAAGTTTATTTAAAAACTTTCTAGATCAAGCTTAAAATTTATAAACCATACAGGTTTGTGTCAATTCTCCTATTATTATTTGTGGAGGTGGCTGGTCCTGTGCCGCCTGTTTATCTTGCGAAAGGAGATTCTTAATATTTCTGTGTTTATTTGTGGCCTGCTGTGTTGTTTACACTGCCCTCTGATGCCCTCTGAGGATGATGTGTAGGGATCGAAACATGTAAAGGTGATAAGTCCTCAAGTGATAAAACTTAAATAGTCACATTAGACGGTTTCCCTTGTTGTAGTAGTTCTTGCTGGAAGTCCTTGGCTGACCTCTTTATCTTTAATGTCATAACCGTTGATGCTATTAACACTGCAAAAGCCCAAAATGAGGAAAAAAATTTAATCAATAATTTATTGTTCCACTTATTTGTGTCTGTATGTAGTAGAACTAATGTAGTTCTTTCTAATCCTCTCCATGTATGTGGTACAATCCAAAAGTTCCCAAAATATATTAATAAAAAGTATTACATCTTACCTAGATCTTATTCTGTACCATCACCTTCAAAGTAGTCCCCTTGGGAGCACATACACCGATCCCAGTGTTTCTGCCACTTTTCAAATGCATCCTGGAAGTCTTTCTTTGTTAGGGTGTTTAGTACTGTCTGGGTTTCCGCTTGAATTTCCTCAAGTGTATCAAATCTTCGCCCCTTCAACTTGATTTTCGTCTTGGGGAAGAGAAAGAAGTCGCATGGAGCTAAGTCTGGCGAGTACGGTGGGTGGGGAACAACTTCCATCTTGTTTTTAGCCAAAAATTTCTGCACAATGTAAGCTGTATGCGGTCATGCGTTGTCATGGTGGAGTACCCAGTCGTTTGTGCGCCACTTCTCTGGACGTTTTCTCCTCATGTTCTCCCTCAAACACCTTAGAACATCGCGATAGAACTCTCTATTGACTG